CCAACCGATTAACCGGCAGGCTCATCGGTTCAAAAAGAAACGGAGAGCCGGAAGACATCATTCAATCGAGTGTTGTTGCATAGTTTGTCTTCTTTTTATAAATTTGACTTATATTTATAAAAAATTTAATATATTTTGTTTTTACTTTTGTTCAAAGTACTATTTAAAACAAAAAAGTTTTATTTTTAAACTGCACATAACAAATGTTAGGGGTCTTTGTTTATGTTATGTGTTTCTGAAATAAAGCAAAAAAATAATAAAGGCCGATATATCAGAAGATCAATATCGATATCAGTCTCAAATATCCCATATCGGTCAAGTTCTAATATAAAAAGTATGAAATGCCATTGATTCAGAATGTATGGAGGAAATAAAAAAAAAAACCTGAGTATTTTTTATGTTTCACAAATGCAGGTATAGAATGCAAGTGTCAAAAAATTAAAATAAATCAGGGTGGACAAACACCAAAATTCACTTTAAAGAATTTGAACGTGGGCATTCAGGTTATTAAAGATACTTCTTTAGGTGATAAATTTACCAACTGTATTCAAGCAACTTAAAGAAAGTTTTTTGCATACTGGACTGCTGAATTTTATTTTTAAAAATGGGATGTTTAAACCACATAAATTCAAATAGTAAAATATTTCTATGCTAGAAATTCAGTGGCCTTTAAATCTATATCAGAATATAATAGTGATTTTAGTTTCAGGTTTCAAATTATTACCACCTTTCTTTGCTTCCATGTCTGAATCTTTATTTTAGGTAATTGCATTTTCATTATTTAGAAAATCATAAGCAGAAAATACATGACTCTTTTAATTAGGTCAGTAAAAAAGAAGCAGGAGAACTTCTTTCATCATTTGTGTTTCAGTAAATGTTCATACATACTTTCAATTTTGTATTTATTTTGTAATTATTTGTAGCAACATGTGTTCTTGTGCATTTGTAGGAGCAAAGGAGAAACAGGATGAGGGAGCTTCCCACTGCAGTGCCCAGAGATAAGGTAAAAGAAACAAACTTATTTTGAAATATAATACCAGTTCTAATACTATCTTTCCTAATGTTTGGTTGTAGTCTGCAGCGTCCCGAGAATAAAGGGGACTTGTGCAGTGTTAATCACTCGTAGCACTACGGGATTTGTGAACCAAATGCCTCAGGATAGTTTCCATTGAGGATTTTTATGCCACATCTCCTCTCCTCCTCTCAAATGACGTTAGACTGCCAACCTCTTTCCCTCTGTCTTTTCACATTTCTTCTCAGTGCTTTTTTTTCTGTCTCTCTCTATTCCTGCTCTTATATTCCTGCTAGTCTGTTGGCAAAGGCCCGGCTGGCCCAACTGTGGTTTCTGGCGAGCCCCTTGCATCGGGAGCAGACGTGGACGGTGCCAAGGTGGGCACGTACACAGCTCGCTGGTTTTGTGCGGGGCTGGTGGTGGGGCATGGATGGATGGTTGGATGGATGGTTGGGTGGACATGGGCTGCTGGCATGCACTCTGATCTTTGTCTGCTGATGCCATGCTCTTGTTTCGCTCTCCCTCAGCCTGTGTGAACTTGCACTAACAACCGTTGTGTTTTCTGCATTCTGTGTCCCCAAACCGGTCAAACCTGTCTCACAGAAAATGCCTTCCTCTCCCTTTATTTCCTTTTCTAACGTCATAACACTGCCCTGTGTATTAATTCTTTTGTAGTTTATAGGAATTGAGCGATAGTGGAAATTCTACCCCTTCACCATCTACTCAAGCCTGTTTGGTCTGTAAGTGCATATTTTAGGAAAATGGCAATGTTTTAATGGCATTGTTGTAGGGATGGCAATGTCGGTCGGTTGGTTCACCACTTTGGTTCAACAGAAATATCGTAACAATTAATGAATGGATTGCCATGCATTTTGTACACACTTTCAAGGTCCCCAGAGGATGAACCCTACTTACTTCGGTGATCCCCTGACTTTTCCTCTAGCGCCACCATGAAGGCGGACTATCACTTTCCTTTTTAATGGGATATTTTGGATAATACATAATCATTTTTAAAAAATGAAGCATTCAATTGTAAAAGCTCTAAATGCATGATGTTTCCTAAGTCAATCAGTAATCATGTTAATAATCGTGATTTCAGTTAAGACCAAAATAATCGTGATGATTTTTGCCATTATTGAGCAAGCCCTACTGTCAGTGTCTGTACTACACTCAGTTATTAATGTTTAGCTTCAAGCTCCTGCAATCTCTTAATGTGTACATGCCTGTTTTGCTTGTGGTTGCGCTACGGCATATGAACCGGTCAAGGTTATTGTGCTGCATATGCTAACCATCCTTTCCCTGTGCACCCTAACCTGGGTGGTGTGACCCCAGTTTATCTGTCTTCATTTTTCTTGTCTTCCTGGCTCATCAGGCCCCAGCAGCAGGGCCCCAAGGCGAGCAGGATGGCACTGGGAACTGGAGGGGGATGTTGAAGAAAGGGGATGAAGCCCCCGGCTCTGGACCTGGGAGCCCCCTTAAAGGAGCTGTCAACCTGCTTGATGTGGTAACTAAACATAAGCCTAACCGCATGCCCCGTGATGAAGAATACAGTATTTTTCAGCAAAGGGTTGATGAAAACATTGTCTGCCTTTTCCCTCAAGCCTGTGCCGGTTGCCAGGAAGCTGTCATCACGTGAGCAGCGTGACTGTGAGGTCATCGAGCGTCTCATCAAGTCTTACTTCCTCATCGTTCGCAAGAATATCCAGGACAGGTAGGCCCGGACAGCTCCTCAAGTGGAGGTGGTTTTGTATTTTAACACTGTATATAGTCAACAAATCCCATGAAAAGAACACCACCAATGATGAATTGGCCATATTATCAAGTATTGTGTGTGCGTGTAGCCACAGCTTGATTTGTCTTCCCCTATGCCATATGAAGGAAGATGTCACCCAGTGCAACAGGGTGACATCTTCCTTCATTACCGTTGACACAGGCATAGTAGTTTATCTTGAGTCAATGCCACATACACCGTCCAAATGTGTGTGAAACCGCAGCTGAAAATAGGCCCTAACAAATGCTGTGCTTGAGTTACGTTTGCAGTAAAGTGGCAGGAGATTACTGATGATTACTGACTTTTTAAAAGGTAACTCTATACACTTGGGTACTGTTTGTATACTTTTATGTCAGTAGGAACCAACAGGATTGAGGCAGGATAGGGAAGTCAGAAAGTATTAAGACTAACACATTGTTGTTTGTGATCTTTTAACAGTTACAATAAGAAAATAGAGAATATCGCCAGCCTTATCCTTTTAAAATGTCTCCTCTTTGTCGTGAAAATGTTTTCACACTAGAGTTAACTTGTAAACCTAACTCCCACCATAATAAAAACTCACAAAAGTTACCAATGAACTGTTAACAGCCATGGCTGAAAAGCAAGAATCTGAGTGTTACCTGCTGTGAAATAATGGTGTTACATTTGTTTTTGTGTGATTTGACTTCATTTGATCCTCTTTTCTATCCTACCAAAGTAGATGTTCTGCAATATTCTCAGAGTGCAGCCCCCCCCCCCCCAGAGCTCAGTTGGGAGAAACAGATTGTATTTAACTCGCAGCTCGTACTTTAACAGCTCGATATTTCGACAGGCACTCCCACCTGGAGCCTCCTCCATCTGGGGGACGACACAATCACCAGGCCCTCTTGCCTTCTTGTTCTCAACCATCTGTTCAGTCTGTTTCCTCTCCCCACCGCAGTGTGCCGAAGGCAGTGATGCACTTCTTGGTCAACCATGTGAAGGACAGCCTCCAGAGCGAGCTCGTAGGCCAGCTGTATAAATCTGGCCTCCTCAATGATCTGCTGACTGAATCGGAGGATATGGCCCAGCGGCGTAAGGAGGCCGCCGACATGCTACAGGTTAACAGACTCCCACCTTGTAGTAGTTGTCCAAGATGAATTTAGGTTCCTTTTATCAGTCATTTCATTGTTTTATATTTTGTTTTGTCTGAAGGCGTTGCAAAAAGCCAGCCAGGTGATCGCTGAGATCAGGGAAACGCATCTCTGGTGAAAAGATCTGCAAAGGGAGCCGAACCGGATCGGTTATCGCCTCATCATGCCTAATGGGGCGATGCTTCATGCACTCATCATGTCTGAACATGAAGTTTTGGATTTGCATCCATGAAAATGCACTGATCTGATCCCTGCTCAAATGTACAGTAGGTATCGAATTGGCTCACAAGCTATCTGAAAGAAATGTAAGTTAATTTAAGTTGTTTATCAAAAATGCTTGGTGTTGTCTAGAGTATATGAAAATGCACCGCCTCTGTTAGCCAATGTTCAAGGTACTATTTTAGAAACCATTGTTGCCACCCACGCCTCCTAGAGGAATCAAGAGTGCAACTAAGGGGAAAGTACTTTTTGGTTTTTTTTTGACAGACTGCGGTTAACCAGAATGGAAATGGACTTTTGTGTGAAGTGGAAATTAAAGTTTTGATGCTTTTTTGGCAGCTCCACAAAGCATTCTTGCAAATGTTTTTTCTCCAGGTTATAAAAAAAAAATCACACAAACAATATTATTCATCTCCTCATCTGCAACTTTTTCATTTAGGAGTAGCTGTCATGTGTCAGAAACCGCAGAACCTCAGAAGTCATAGCAGGGATTGGTTTGCTGAATTAAAATACATAAGTTGCTCCTGACTTATAGCAAATGTTAGTCCTTACACCTGTGTATATACTCCATGACTTTTTTGCACTCTTGTTGCCACACTGTTCTGTATGGAAAGTCCATTTCGACACTGTATTGCCACCAGAATATTTATTTATTAATGTGTTATTTAATTGTGTGGATAATGTAATGAGCACTATTGCAGCTTGCTGCAGTAGGTCATTTAATTATGTTTACATATCGCTGCCTACATGTGAAATATGGTGCACTGTGGTTCTCTGTATGGTTCCCAAAAGAATAAATAGAGCTATTTTATTGCCAGTTGAATGGATTCATTTGCTTTTAAGCTGTTAAAGTGACAAAGAGACAGAAAGAGATAAAATCCACTAGTTTTAAACTTAAACCGCACAAACGGGCTTAAAAGCACTTTTTTATTGTTTATGTCTAAAACCAGCTGTTGTAGTGCTGTTTTATTGTTTATGCGTACATTAATGTCGTCAAAATCAATACTGGTGCTCATCTTCAGGCGCTTCCTTGGAGAAATCCTGCTGGTGCTTGCATCTATCTCAGCCTGCCCTTGGCCTTGCCTCTTCCTTTGGTGCTGTGGGGTCACAAACATAAATCATCAGTCAACAGTTTACTATTCATCCATGTATGAATTAATATTTATTAAGTCCATCTCTATAGTTCCATTTGGTTGCTCTGGTGTGTTCCTAACAAATGTTGTTTGTACATACAGGTCTGGGTATCACTGGTAGTTCCACAGTTTGGAGGCCCAAGGTGTTAATTAAATATTAATTAAATCCATTATGAAGTGAATAATCATGAATAAATACAGATACATTAATAATAACCATAAATGGGTAAGTAATAATCCAACACAATTTTAAAACTCTATTTAATATGAAATGTAATGTCATCCATCCATTCTTTATGTGATTGGCTTGCCGCCTATTCAGAGAAAAAGCAACAGCCAATCAGAGAACAGACTGCTGAGGTTCAATGCTGCTGAGGGCTTAAACTGCCAGATGGTGACATAGTGGCATTGTGAACTAAAACTGGAAAAAGTAGTGTTGGGAAAACAAAAACAGACTTTAGAAGAAGGCGATTTTGTAATAAATGGAGACCTGCATAAGCAGTATGAAATTATCATAATGAGCTGAATCTTTTAAAAATCCATGGAATATTTCATGATGGTTATATTATTATTATTATTATGTATTTTATATTGCCATATTTATAAAACATTTTAATGCTTGGGGTCTCCATACAATTTAAATCTCTTTAGAGATCTTGTACAGCAGGTTTTTTTTATATTGAAATAAAAAAGGGGTGACAAACATGTCTGCCTAAATTCCTCAAAGTAAGGTATGAAGTATTGTTTCTTATTAGTAGAGAAACACTTTGAGATACTACTTTTTTGATATAGGTATGTTTTTCTACAAACCTTTTTTTTTTTTCATTTAACAAAAGAGACTGGCTACTATACAAGAACTTTAAAATTGTGAAATTGTGATTTAAATTGCAACCGATCAAAGAATAACAGCGATGCAAGCTTTTGGTACGTCAGTTTTCAAATGTTCATTTTGCTACGGATTCATTTAAGCTGCTGACAAATAAGTATTACCCAGCCCTCTGTATGAATGACGCACAGCACATATCTTTGTCTGCATGTAGACATAATTTTCTTTAAGCGTGACATTTTGTCAGTGCAGATGCTCTGTAGGTCCATATGTGCTGTAGTGTTCATTAACAAAATGAAATTAGGTCATGAGCGAAGTGATGGAGGGGTTGAAGAAGACATCAAAGCATCATGCTATTAGAAAAGGGAAAAACACGATTTCACACGGCTGGCAAATGATGATTGTGTCCTCTCAGCAGCAGCCTTACCTTTTCATACCCTGCCTTTGTTCTCTTTTTGCCCCTTTGCCCATAAGATCTGATACATCCACAGTTTAATCTGCCAGATATTTGAGTGTAGACACTTACCAGTTGATTTAACACAGACGTCTCGCTTTCTGCCTTTTTTAAATGTTGACATACACGGCTTTTTTCTTTTTCAAGGGATTGATTCAGATCGGTTTACATTTCAAAATCTGTAACCAATAGTGTTACAAAAAGCAGTTTCAAAAAGTAGCAAATATGTGGGGGCTTTGGGATGTTCGCTCCAACCACCACAGTGCTTCTCTATTCTACCAACTTCAAAGCTCAAGTATAGCTGTGGATCAGGAACACAATGTTTTCGGACTGCCTGGATGAAGATGTAAAGAGGGATGATGGGTAATAGATGCACGGAGAAGAATAAAGAATGTTGAGCAGAGCGAGAAACAAGTAGAGTATGGTAAGAAAGTAATCAAATACTGCATGAATGCTTTAAAATGGCAGAGCTTTCTGCTACTGTGTTGATCTTTTTCCATGGCTGTCTGAAACAGGTAAAATCTGATTTTATGTTTTACTTGTTCAGAGCCATAGGTAGGTGAGATCTGTGCTGTGCAAAGTTAGAACTATTTCAATGCTCACAACTCATTCAGTAAAGACTGTGTCACATGTTCCCATTCTACATCAGGTAGGTTGATGTGAGTTTAAAAAGGGTTACAAGAGATAATTTATCATATTGAAGAACTGTATACGGGGGTTCACAACTACAATTTATCAATTTATATGCACTTATAATACCAAATTTGTTTTGTTAAATAAAACTGACTCAACATTTCCTGAGGTTCTTTAAATGAGTACCAAAACCACCTCAATTCTATTAAAGAAACTCTCAGCGCCAATATGAGCCTTGTCACTTACCTCTGGTGGTCTTGAACGCGAGCCAGGAGCTGATTGATCTGTGGGGGACAAACATGGAGGACTGGCTAAGCACAAGAGCAACAGGTGGACACGGGCGGACACCAGCTGAGCCGAAGAGTGGACCTCGTGGTCCTAAAGAAGAGCTCAGCAGGGCAAGATATGTTCACCTGATGTCCAAAGAATTTCATCTGTGGATGGGGACTCACCTCTAGCCTTCCTGACAGAGCTGATCATTTAACTAAATCCTAAAGTGAAGGCCACAGAGCTGAAGTGCTTATGTTTCAGTTGTGCTCGCCTCATTACAGGCTCCACACTACCAGTTTCACCTTCTGTTGTCAGTGGTTGCCCGGCTTTGCTCCTGCTCCACTGTCTGAGGCTCAGTTTGTGACCCTTTAACACACAGGACAGCAAAACAACCAAGACGCTCACACTCCTTATTAACAATTACTCACAACTTCTGCTGCTCATTGATTCGGAACTGGAGTACAGTAATCTGGAAGTCAAGCCACATTCATTTTATGTAGGTGCCCTCTGGACAGCCTTTCACTTAAAAGTATATTACATATTTTTCAGCTTTCACATTATGTGGATTTTTCAGGGCTGTAGGCTGCATTATCATCTTATCCCATGATCTAAATTCATATAGTACATAAAACAAGTTAGGTAGCATATACATAGAAGCTAATGGAGGATTTTAATCAGGTCATAGGCTGTTCATTTTGTAAAGACATGAAAGAAAGAGTAAGAAAATTTGGGAAATATAAAGAACAGAAGATTTAAACCACTCTTGTCTGTAGCCTACGGTAAATTTGTAGCTGGAGTGAGCAGCTTGTTAGCTTAGCTTAACATAAAGACTGGAAACAGCTAGTCCAGTTATGTTCAAAGATAAGAAAATTCACCATCCAGCACCTTTAAAGCTCACTAGTTAACATGTTATATTTTGTTGGATAGAATCAGGCTAGCTGTTTCCATGTTTCCAGTCTTTTCTGAGCTAAGCTTACGGGCTGTTGGCTTTAGCTTAATTTTTACCGTACAAACGTGAAAGCTGAATCAATCTTCTCATCAAAGTCTTGCAACTACAAAAAAAAGCGAATAAGCGTATTTTCCAAAAGGTATTCCAGATTGATTGAACTGTAACACCGACACTTTTTATTTTATGTAGTTGAGTTCTTCTACAGGTGCATATACAGGTTTGGTGAAAAAAAAAAAAAAGGTTTTCACTTTGTCATTTCATGGAGCAATTGGTACATGAACACCCCAAGGCAAAGTACTTACATCATATTTCTGTCTCTTCAGTTTCTCGGTGAGGTCAAACTTCTCAGACTCCAGTGTCATCAGCCACTGCCACAGCTCATTGGCCTTCTCCCTTCAGAGCAAATACCAGTTGCATTTTAGAAACAGAAAAGTAAAAGACCTTGCCAAAACGTTAGACCTCTATGATTTAAGGAATGGAAAGTAGATGGGAGTTTATTCACAAACAAATCACCTGCATCGGACCGTAAATGTGGATATTAGCCTGTCTATGGAACTGTGAATAAGGGCTGCTAGTGAAAACATAGTATCCTTACTTCACTTTGTCCTCGCTGAGATGGTCGATGTTGAGAGGCTTCCTCCTCTCTGCCAGGATCTTCTTTTTCTTCTCTCTCTCTGTCTGCTTTTTCGCTCCCCTTTTTCCATCTTGCTGGATAGGAGAATCAATCAAAGAGGATGTGTTGACAGAACACAAGAAGAGAAAGGATAAAAGAAAGAAAATATCAAAGAGGCCACAAAATCTGAAACGCTGATCCTATTTCCTATTGATTCAAGTATAAACACATGTATTTATGATCACAGTAACAGTCTCCATCTTCTGTCTTTCATTTCAGCGATGGTTGTGCATTATGGTGGGTACTGACTGGTACCGACTGTGCCAATCCTTTACATTTGTCTGACAGAAGATTTTCAGTGAGAATTTGGTAAACAGTTTGTGAAGACTGACCCTCTGTTGGACACCACCATACTGCTGAGTCATGTTTGTCAGAGCCTTCTTCTTCTTGGCGTCCTCATCCTGCTTTTTACGGGCCTCCTCCTGCTCCTTCCTCTCCTTTTCTTCCTGCCATACAGATTGCACAAGAAGGTCACAGGAGAAAGAAACACACCACCTTGCCTCTCCAACGGCTTAATCAATACTGAGGGCAAAATCTATTAAAGTCTTCCTGCTGTCATCACTTAGATAAAATTCACTGTATCTGCAAGAAGATCCTTTTCCTGGAAATTATTATCATTATCTGCCATGTTAGAAAATGACAATTGGTTTCATGTGAATTTCAAGTTAAACCTGCAGTAACTGAAATTTTGTTCTCTTTGGGGAAGCAGAAACAAGCTGTAAACACAACACTAGCATATTTTTACATTTTAGCTTGATATAGTCAACATGATAGCGAACAGCTGCTTAATTACACATCAAGCTGATACAGAGCAACATAATCATTCATTTGGAGTTGTGTTTCTGGCCACCAGATGTAACTGGGGTGGTGATGACGCAGTGGATAAGACACATACCTTTTGTGTGAGAGACCCACGTTCGAATCCACTGTAAGACACCAATGTGTCCTTGAGCAAGACGCTTCACCCCTAGTTGCCCTAGAGGTGTGTGACCTACATGCAACATTTATAGCAATTGTAAGACGCTTTGCATAAAAGTGTCAGCTAAATTAATAAATGTAACTCCAGTATTCCAATCTCCTTTTAGCTCTGTTTTTGGTCTCCACCAATTCCTAAGGGAAATAGCTGACTCTTTAGCTCTTCACTCGCTAACTTGGTTTGCAAATAATGTACGGTGGATTTTTAGAGCGTTTTCATTGAAAACAGCCTACTGCTGTAGAAAAACAATGCTATGAGACCTGTGACATTAAAATCAGAGTTGCAGGGTGATAATTCTCTGTAGGTTTGTCATGTACATGTAACACCACTCTTACATGGTCATTTAATCCATTGGTATTATGAAAATATTGACTATAGGTGCTTTAAAGAAAAATATAACTGAATTATTTGCAGCAGACAACATAAAGAAAAGAGTTCCCTAAAGGCAAAGACTTCATGTTGATCCAAATTTATATGTTATGCTGAAATTAAATCTGCCCAAAGCAATTTTTTGAATGACATCACTTAACTGCACCAAGCAGGGCTGGACTGGTAATGGGGCAAATTACCAGTGGGCCGATGCACCTTTGGGGCAGATGTAACGTAAATGATGTATTTATATAACTGTTTTTTAAAAAATGGACCAACGACCTGCCCATTGGGTAATTTTCTGTACTGACACTGGGCGGCCCAATCACATCTCTTTAGCGAAAGTGAGCAGGAGGAGAGTGGAGGTGAAGGCATGGAGTAGCTCAACCTGTAGGGAGGGAGGGTGATTTACACTGGAGACGCTGGGGACAGGTAGCCACCACTTTTTGAAAGCATTTGTTAAAAATGTTCTGAAAAATAGCTTGCACCAAGAAATGTTAATTAACAAATAAAAATTCTATGACAAAGGTTTATTTGCACAATATGCCTGTAATGCAAAGTAAATATAGAAGAAAACTCTGTGTTGTCCAAAAAAAGTCACTTAAGCTAAAAACAATAATAAGCTACTGATTACCAGTGTTGGGGGTAGCCTAACACATTGCAGAGTAACGCATTACTGTAATCAGATTACTTTTGTCTGTAAGGTAGTAATGTAACGCATTACTGTTGATAACTTCAGTAATCACATTACAGTTATTAATGACAAAATCATCGCGTTACTTGTGAACTGGTTCTTGAACTATCCGCATAACGGGAGGAGAGAAAAATAAATAGTCCCTTTTCCTCCGTGTTTGCGTAACACTTTTCCGACCTAACTTTTTACTTCAACGCCAGTTCATGAGGATGCAGAAATTGCAATACTGCCAAAGACGTCTTTCGAGGGGTGGAGGTATTAGGCCTACTTCATATTGTTTCGCGAAAGGACAGAACTAGTTACTTTCAGCAGTGAGTAATCTAGTAAAGTAAGGCATTACTTTAAAAAAAAAAAAAAGTTACTAGTAATGTGTAATCCATTACCTTTTATGAGTAACTACCCCAACACTGCTGATTGAGATCCTCGGGCAGAGGTCTAGCTGTTGTCTGTTCCAGAGTCTCGACTGAAAACTAAAGGGGACAGAGTGTTTGCTGTCAGGGCCCCTCTGGAACAGCCTGCCCGAGGAAATCAGGTCAGCTGAGTCAGTGAACTCTTTTAAGTCACTTCTTAAAACATACTTTTATAGGAGAGCCTTTCCCGATCTTATTTGACTTTATTTTATCCCTTTTATTTTATTTATTTTACTAATTTTATAATTATCTTAAACGTGTATTTTAGTCTTTTCAATGTTTTCATGATTTTATCTTGTATTGTTTTTGTATTATTGTCTTTTGGGTATTATTGTCTTTACACTTGTTAAAGCACTTGTTTTTGAAAAGTGCTCTACAAATAAAGATTATTATTATTATTATTATTACTGCATTCCATTATATTTTTATATTCTGAATTGTCACCTGGCACCTGAATTTTGTGCTTCCCTGATGCAGAAAATGTCTCCAGAATGCAGGAAATTAAATGTTTCATGCTCAAAATCTTCTGGGGAAGGACCTCTATATCAAAAACTTCTTCAATAAATAGTTTTTTTTTAAATAGTAAGCCCATTAAAATACAGTCTTGTTGTCATGGCCCCAATCTTGTGCAATGTTACGTCTCATGGGCTCTCAAGTGTTTTGTCACACCCCTGATTTAAGCCCTTAAATGGATGGATGGTGTATTGGTGAGGGGTGTCCGACCGATTTTGGTGGGCTGCCTGGGCAAAAATTGCCAGGGCTGATTTTTTGTCCCAGTCCAGCCCTGGCACCAAGGACACTCACATTTAAAAATGTGCCCGTTTATGCTTTAGAGTATATCAAAACAAAAATGGGAAAGATGGAGTAAAGATCAAGGATGGAGTATTTACTTTCTGTTGTTGAGGAGTTTACATTCATCAGAGAAGATTCCCAACCAGGATAGACACCGTAATTATATTTTGGTTACAGTTATTTGTTATAGGACACTCTTTATTTATTGTATTTAGGGTCATTGTCCTGAAAAACGGTGATTGAAAAGGAACTCACTGCGACACGAGTCTGCCTCTCCTTCTCCCTCTCAGCACGGATCCTCAGCTGTTCAGCCCTCTCAGCACGACGCTTCTCCTGCACATCCATGCCCACACAAACACACAGTGTAATTGTTTGCTGGGTGGTGCATCACTCCAGCGATCTGGCACACTTTCCTGGAAGACTTACGATTCTGTTAACGAGAGCGATGAGCTCCTCCTCTTCCTTCTTCCTCTGAATGAAGTGGGCCTCGATCAGAGATTGCAGCTCGGTCAGATCCTTCTCCTGACGCTTTCTGTGGATGTCCTGCAGTTACAGATGCACCTTCAGTGACTGCATATCCAGAGAGCAAAACCCTCATGAAGTCCTAAACAAAATGTTGAACCTAAACTACTGCAGCCGACATTTGGTCCTCATAATGACAAAAAAAGACAAACATTTATACATGCAGACACAGTATACAGACAAATAAATTGTGTCAATGTCATTTAAAAAGGTATCACTTACATCAAAGTCCACCTTTTCTCCCTCTGGTATCTTCGGCACAGCTATAGCTGGAGCAAACAACCTCAAAAAACATTTCTGGGTTAGAAAATTAACTTTAAACAACCAGTTAACCACTAGTTGGTTGATGTATATAGATTAAAATTCACATGACGAAAGACTTACTTTGGTTTGGGTTTGGAGTCATCTATTGTAATAAAAAAAGTGATAATACAGTTACTATAGCACTGATTTACATTTGTTTAATCTATACTATATATATATACACATATATATACATACATACATACATACACACACACAGTGAGGAAAATAAGTATTTGAACACCCTGCTATTTTGCAAGTTCTCCCACTTAGAAATCATGGAGGGGTCTGAAATTGTCATCGGTGCATGTCCACTGTGAGAGACACAATCTAAAAAAATTAAAATAAAATCCAGAAATCACAATGTATGATTTTTTAACTATTTATTTGTATGATACAGCTGCAAATAAGTATTTGAACATTTGGTACAGTAGCCTTTGTTTGCAATTACAGCGGTCAAACGTTTCCTGTAGTTTTTCACCAGGTTTGCACACACTGCAGGAGGGATTTTGGCCCACTCCTCCACACAGATCTTCTCTAGATCAGTCAGGTTTCTGGGCTGTCGCTGAGAAACACGGACTTTGAGCTCCCTCCAAAGATTGTCTATTGGGTTTAGGTCTTGAGACTGGCTAGGCCACGCCAGAACCTTGATATGCTTCTTACAGAGCCACTCCTTGGTTATCCTGGCTGTGTGCTTCGGTTCATTGTCATGTTGGAAGACCCGGCCTCGACCCATCTTCAATGCTCTAACTGAGGGAAGGAGGTTGTTCCCCAAAATCTCGCAATACATGGCCCCGGTCATCCTCTCCTTAATACAGTGATGTCGCCCTGTCCCATGTGCAGAAAAACACCCCCAAACATGATGCTACCACCCCCATGCTTCACAGTAGGGATGCTGTTCTTGGGATGGTACTCATCATTCTTCTTCCTCCAAACACGGTTAGTGGAATTATGACCAAAAAGTTCTATTTTGCTCTCATCTGACCACATGACTTTCTCCCATGACTCCTCTGGATCATCCAAATGGTCATTGGCAAACTGAAGACGGGCCTTGACATGTGCTGGTTTAAGCAGGGGAACCTTCCGTGCCATGCGTGATTTCAAACCATGACGTCTTAGTGTATTACCAACAGTAACCTTGGAAACGGTGGTCCCAGCTCTTTTCAGGTCATTGACCAGCTCCTCCCGTGTAGTTCTGGGCTGATTTCTCGCCTTTCTTAGGATCATTGAGACCCCACGAGGTGAGATCTTGCATGGAACCCCAGTCCGAGGGAGATTGACAGTCATGTTTAGCTTCTTCCATTTTCTAATGATTGCTCCAACAGTGGACCTTTTTTCACCAAGCTGCTTGGCAATTTCCCCGTAGCCCTTTCCAGCCTTGTGGAGGTGTACAATTTTGTCTCTAGTGTCTTTGGACAGCTCTTTGGTCTTGGCCATGTTAGTAGTTGGATTCTTACTGATTGTATGGGGTGGACAGGTGTCTGCTAACAGGAGGCAGCTAACGACCTCAAACAGGTGCATCTAATTTAGGATAATAAATGGAGTGGAGGTGGACATTTTGAAGGCAGACTAACAGGTCTTTGAGAGTCAGAATTCTAGCTGATAGACAGGTGTTCAAATACTTATTTGCAGCTGTATCATACAAATAAATAGTTAAAAAATCATACATTGTGATTTCTGGATTATTTTTTTGATTATGTCTCTCACAGTGGACATGCACCTACGATGACAATTTCAGACCCCTCCATGATTTCTAAGTGGGAGAACTTGCAAAATAGCAGGGTGTTCAAATACTTATTTTCCTTACTGTATATAAGTGATCTATTTAGTCATCTATTTAGTTTTTCATTAAGACTAAAATATGAATCTTAAAACCATATTTGGAGTGTAAAAAATGTACAATTGACAAGTCAAACTGTTCAACTGATCTTTAGATAAAATTACAGCGCTCACTTACCCTGGTTCTCTCCTAGAGGGTGAGAACAGAGAAGTAAATTATAATTAATTAATAAATGACCCTCACTAATGGAACAATAGAACACAGACACTCAACACACATAAATGAGCTGTGTAAGTGAATAAATACTGGAACAATGAATCTTGTTTTTCTGACTTTTATGCATGGTCTGTAGCAATGCACTATAGCATGACATCCAGTACAGTTGTTTGTCATTAAAAAACAGGAGCTACGGTGGCCGGCACGCTCTGTTGGCTCTTGTGCCAAATGATGATGACCCGCAGTGTGTGTAGATAGAAATGGAAAATTCTAAGGTAATAAAAACACTAATAAATAAATAAATAACATTACATAAGGTCTTTATACACCACTGAAAACATAGTTATGTATATTATATTGCATTTCTGTCAATAGATCCTCCTCAATATAACACGGTGAACCTTTAAGTAAAAGTAGTAATAACACAGTGTACAACTACTCTGTTACGAGTCCTGCATTCAATAATTTACTTCATTAAAAGTTCAAAGGTTTTAGCATCAAAATATACTAAGTAGGCTACAAAAAGTAAAAGGACTCTTTATACAGAATGGCCTCTTTCAGAATAATGTCTAATATATAAAAAAATTCTAATTATCGATGCATCCATGTGTTTCACTTTAATCACTTTAATGTTGCAGCTGGTGAAGGTGGGGCTATTTTTTTACTTTATATACTGGCGGGTATATGAAGTCAAAAGGTCATAATGTTATTAGTTGGTAATATTTTATATTATTACTCAATCTGCAAAGTAACTAGTGATCAAATGTATCAAATGACTGTAGTGGAGGAAAACACATTTGCCTCTGAGATGTAATGGAGTAGAAGTATAAAGTAGCAGAAAATGGAAATATTCTAATAAAGTCCTACAAGTACAACAAACTTGTACTCAATTACTGTATTTGAATACATGTACTTAGTTACTTTTCACCAGTGTCATTATAGTAATAGAAAGTAAATTATAGTACCTTCATCTGCAGCTGGAGACTCTGTGGCAGAGGACATAAGGACATGTTAGTGCATCAGATGGCAGAATCCAAATGGATTTACTTTATTATTTAACAATACTACTTCGTTCTTTATATATATCTACTTTACACATTTTGATATGAAAAACTATCTTGCCTGTGAGAAGGAGAAAATAGAAAGTCTAAACAGTTTCTGTATGCCTTGTCACACAGGGCTGGTGAAAGTACTCTGGGGGCGCCAAGCCATGAACACTTAGTTTACTTTCAGACAGTGTGAAGGCAGTTCTTTTATAAGAGTGTGTTATCAGAATAAATATTAAAATAGGAAGATATTTACACCACATATGAATTCAGCAGCAACAGAGATTTGAAAAGATTGAAAGTCACTATTACAATTTCCCACAAATATCTCAGTCCTACAGTCTCCTTGAATTACCTTCTGCTGAAGGCTCTCTGTAAATGTAATGTGAACCGGCAGGTGATCATAGCGATCATAATCAATGCAAGAAATGGGACACAGCTCATCAGTAAATGTTCATGGCATGACTTGGCTACAATATGTTATTGTTACGAGGAGAATGGTTTTTCCAATATGTACTTAAAGTTAAACAAAATAAGCATATGCCATGTATTAGGTGTCATATTTCAAAGCCAAATATTTTTTCATTCACATAATGTATACAATATAGTTGTTAAAGCTGGACCATCAACACTGTTATATATGTTAGATTAGATTAAAATATAACAAAAGTCATTACCTTCCACTGTAGGAAGAGGTTCTAAGGTGGTGTGAAATAATTAAAATATGGTTAAATATGTCACATGTCATCAGAAAATGCAATGAAACAATATGTTTACAATTGACATTTAGTCACGGAATTACATTATATATGAATATTACATAACTTTTCTTTGCAATCATAAAATAAGCAAGACATACAGTATATATGATGTGATAAAAATCTGAATGTTTTAACTAGTGCTGGGCAACGTGTCGCACACATTTAAATGTACTGCTATATACATAAAAGTGCAATAACGTGTGGTTTGCAAACATTTTAAACAAATAAGGTGCTTTTTACCAGCAGTATTCCCTTTACACAGTTAGCAATAAAATATTTCTTCTAAATCTCAACTTAAAACATTAATGTCAAAATCAAATGAAATATTAAACCAAAGCTATTTGCCACTGCCAAGGCATTACCTTTTATCTAGCTTGTTAAAACAAGTTACCATCAAAGTCCAGAGCCACGATCATAACATCATTCCAGGCACCTTCTGAGCAACAGGTTACCATATATAGATCTGTTTTCTTGGGTTTTTTTCTGAACAGGTATCAGCAGAAACATTTTTCTTTTATCAGGGAGCAGCATAAACAGTCTATGTTCAATAGTAAGTGTCCCTGTTAGAGTGAGGGGAAGTGGTCAAGCACAAGGCGTAGTGACAAGCAGGCGTGTTCCCGTGAAACAGTCTCTGTTGTGTTTGCCTCACGCACACACCTGCCGCCAAAGTTGAATTGTCTTGAACCTTTTGTACGCAACGCGCAGCACAAATCATTGAAAGAGAGAGTGATCCTAGCTGTTTGTGAGTTTCCAAAATCTATTTTTACTTCATATACTGCCTGGTACATGAAGTCAAAAGGTCATAATGTTATTAGTTGGTAATATTTTGCGTTATTACTCAATCTGCAAAGTAACTAGTGATCAAATGTATCAAATGACTGTAGTGGAGGAAAACACATTTGCCTCTGAGATGTAATGGTGTAGAAGTATAAAGTAGCAGAAAATGGAAATATTCTAATAAAGTCCTACAAGTACAACAAACTTGTACTCAATTACTGTATTTGAATACGTGTACTTAGTTACTTTCCACCTGTTATTACAGTAATGAAAGTAAATTATAGTACCTTCATCTGCAGCTGGAGACTCTGTGGCAGAGGACATAAGGGCATGTTAGTGCATCAGATGGCAGAATCCAAATGGATTTACTTTATTATTTACGTCGTTCTTTATATATATCTACTTTATACATTTTGATATGAAACACTGTCTTGCCTGTGAGAAGGAGAAAATAGAAAGTCTAAACAGTTTCTGTATGCCTTGTCATACAGGGCTGGTGAAAGTACTCTGGGGGCGCCAAGCCATGAACACTTAGTTTACTTTCAGACAGTGTGAGGCAGTTCTTTTATAAAAGTGTGTTATCAGAATAAATCTTAAAATAGGAATATGAATTTGGCCGCAACAAAGAATTGAAAAGATTGAAAGTCACAAATATCTCAGTCCTACAGTCTCCTTGAATTACCTTCTGCTGAAGGCTCTCTGTAAATGTAATGTGAACCGGCAGGTGATCATAGCGATCATAATCAATGCAAGAAATGGGACACAGCTCATCAGTAAATGTTCATGGCATGACTTGGCTACAATATGTTATTATTTACGAGGAGAATGGTTTAACTAATATGTACTTGAAGAGGTGGTATTATGCTCACTTTCAGGTTCATAATCTTATTTAGGGGTTGAACCAGAGCAGGTTTACATGGTTTAATTTTCAAAAACAGTATATTTTTTGTTATTACATTTACATTTATTCATTTAGCTGACGCTTTTATCCAAAGCGACTTACAATTGCTATATATGTCAGAGGTCGCACGCCTCTGGAGCAACTAGGGGTTAAGTGTCTTGCTCAGGGACACACTGGTGGATGTGTCACAGTGGGGAGTTGTACCCGTCATACTGCACATTGCTGCAGCTCTCTTCTGTTTTGAAGGCTTCGTTTTAGCTATAGAGTGATACATCTTGTCTTTAAATGATCTTTGTTGGGAGTTGCACATGCGCAGTTCCTAGTTAAGGACTACAAGCCAATCAGAAGCAGAGAATGGCGGGCCAATGAGAAGCCGGTAAACAGCTTCGATTCAGCTGTACATGTTGCTGACCAGCTTGGCAACATGGACTGGAGCAAGAGTTTCACAGTGGGGAGTTATTAATCTGTAACAAAAGTATCTTTCATACATTAAGTTTTAACTGAGCTCTGTCTCTACATCACAGTAGCAACTTCATGTCCATTGACTGCCTGGAGGGTAGATAGGGTTTGGAAGGGAGAGGAGAGGTGTGTGCTGGAGCTCAGTGTTTTTCCACCGCTGTTTTTGAGGGTGTGTCGGACAAGCCGCTTGGCTAGCGTTATATGAGGCGCTCACAGGGATGAAAGGGAAATGGCTGGACTACAAACCAGCTGTTTTCAGGCAGTTCAGAGCAGAGTTTTCTGTGGGAGATGGGAACTCCCTTTGTGGTGGACTTTTTCACTTTGCAAACCTGTTGCAAACATGCACAAAAAGGTATATAACTCAATAAAGAAGAGGGAAAAAGCCAAACAGCATAATACCACCTCTTTAAAGTTAAACAAAATAAGCATGTGCAATTTATTAAGTGTCATATTTCAAAGCAAAATGATGTTTCATTCACATAATGTATACAATATAGTTGTTCATGCTGGACCATCAACACTGTTATATATGTTAGATTAGAATAAAATATAACAAAAGTCATTACCTTCCACAGTAGGAAGAGGTTCTAAGGTGGTGTGAAATAATGAAAATATGGTTAAATATGTCACATGTCATCAGAAAATGCAATTTACAATTAACAATTGACATTTAGTCACAGGATTAAATTATATACGACTTTTACATAACTTATTTTTCAATCGTGAAATAAGCTAGGCATACGGTATAAAATGTGATAACAAAAATTAATGTTTTAACGTTTTGGCAGTTTGTAAATAAAGTAGCATGAAATGCTAATGATACAGGTAAATAAATGGTGCTGAATTAAATAAGAGATAAAATGTTTGTAATGTACAGGTGAACCTGTGTGTTATTAATATAAAGTATGTTTGTAATATTTATGATGGCACAAGCAATGCTCTGGACAGCACTACACATATAAATTTTGTAATATGAAGTGACACCTAATTAGCCGTTTTCTATATAAATTTCAATGTATTCTATAAACGCAAATGGAATTATAATGGCTCATAGACAAATATTAAAAGATTAGAATTACCTTGTACTTCAGGTGCTACTTCTTCTATAAAACAAAAACATAACAAGTCAAATTATTGTTATTGGTGGGCAAAAACATGACACCAAACACACACAGACACACACACACATGCACACAGACACACACACACACACACATGCACACACACACACACACACACACACAAAGGCATTATTTACTGACAAAAAACAAGTCATACAAACCTTCTTCTTTCAGTGTCTTCATGTCTGAGTGAACTAAATAAGGATTAGTGGATCAATGAGGCTCTGGCAAACAGCTTGAGGCTGGGATTCGGTCAAACTCTGAGCACTGTGATATTGTCCCGTGGGATGCACTGAAACCAATGCTGGTGTCTGACATTCTGAACAAAGCTAGAAACAGGGAATGATCCCGGATCACAAACCAAGCCCATGAGCTGTTTGTAACCTGTCAGAAATCAAAGCCAAATCTCGACACATAGCATAACAACAGGGGGAAAATGTCATTGTCGTTTCGGTTTACTTTGTGCATTTGAAATGATTTTTATCCAATGCTAATCAGTGGTGGAGGAAGTGTGTTTTAACATATTTTTTTCTTTCTTTTTTTCTCTTCTATTTGTCTCATCGACTTATTAGTGTTCCCATTCGCATTTACATACACACATATACCCCACCCACACACGACATCTCACATACACCACCACAGTTTATCTCACACTTGATGAACTTTGCCTCCCGCGCCTTCACAGCAGCTACACTGTTTGCCGTCATAAACTGTTTTGCTGCCTTGTCACCATTGTTTAACTCTTGTCTTATGTTTTGTTATATTGCACAAATGATACAAAAACAAAGACAAACTGAAAAGCTTGCTGTGGCTTTTATCACTGACAGCAGACACTGTAACAGCAGCAGACACACCGGAAACAAGGCGATGCACACATATGAAGCCATGCAGAAGCCTTTACCTTCCTCTTCCTGGGTTACCTCTGAGGAGACATAATCAGGTCAGCCACATCTAGCAACAGAACCTTGAAAGTGACATTTTGCTTTCGAAAACACGTTGAATGCTCTCAAACTCTTACTTACCTTCCTCCCTGAAAAGAAAAGAAGAGGAGATGTGAATTTTTTTTCCCGGAGCAATCAGTCGAAATCAGCTCAGTCTGTCTGTTTAACTCAGTACACCGTGAAACACCACTAAAATGTAAAGAAGGCACTCACAGCATCTCCTCCACTACTTCTTCTCCAGACATCTTGGATTCCAATTACCTGCATAAAAGAGGAAAGCAGACAATGTGTCGAAACATCAAGAATCACAACTTCAATTCACCACACAGAATACATGATGCATTTTTAATGAATTTCCTTTTTTTTTTAGATAATAAAGGAGTTTTAAAGCACACATACACAGACACTCAATTCTCTTGGCCTCAATATAATGAGGGCTCATTATATTAATTTTTGTTTCATTCATGTTTTTCTTGCTGTCATTTGTGTTGTTGTTTGTCTTCCTGATATTTTCCTCTTTATCTCATCGAATGTAATGTTTTTAGCCCTTGAGATTTTAGCCCTTGAGATTTCTTTCCCTCGGACAGATGGTTTGTGTCTTCTTTTCTCCTCTCTGTGCTTTTATTCAGATGTGCAAACAACTAATCCAAAACCTACAAAGAAACAAAACTTGGCTACATGCTTTGAGATTGGAGCAATTGTAGAATTTGAAATGATTCCACCATGGGCACTGCAAGTAGAGGCCCAGGGCTTTAAACAGCTCCAGGCCTAATCCTCAGCCATTTCCTCTTGGCAGTGATCAAGGCTGCAGGCAGCCGACTGGAGTCTGGACAGCACTGAAACTATCAGGACTGCACCAGTCCTTCAGGGATGAACCGATGCATCTGAAGCTAGGCATATCAAATTGGCTCAGATATGTACACTAGGAAAACAATTTTCCAGGTGCTCAACAGGCTTTGAAGTGGTACACTGCAAGAAATGTCCATCATAGTGTGATTTAGTCTGATATTCATGCGTAACAGCTTATTGTTCTGTCAAAGCGAAACAATTCAATCTGATTTCAGCACCAATTTTGAAGATCAGTTTACTTGCCACGAGGAGTAACACTCAGCCTGTGAAAATAGTTGTATTATGTCCTCTGTGGCTGTGGAAGAGATCTCTAAAGTCTGCACAAATAACCCTGATGGTGTCACGATCATGAGCGCTGTCTTGTGACGAGGCTTGAGATTTCAAACAGAAACCCTGTGTTACAAACCACAGAGTTTGAAAGATGAGGGTGTTTACCAGGTAGTGAGAGTTTAATGCACCCTATTGAGTTGCATTATGGCAAATGCAGGAACCAGTGTTTTTGGAGCTTGAGACATACTAGGGACTATAGGTCAAGATACCTATGCCTATATTTGTCACAACCTTGATTTTGAGTGTGGTATTTTTCTGTTATTTTGGTAAATGTCCAGTTCTGTTTTACCCATTGCCTCTGTGTTCTTGTTTAGGTTTTGTTTGTTGAGCATTGCTTCCTTGTTTTCTGTTGTATTTAGTTACATATATCTTTGTGTATTGTCTGTAGCTTTACTTCCTGTTTTATTGTGCAATTTTGGTGATTGGTGTTTTTGTTTAGCTTTGTTTCCTGTCTACATTGATTCCCAATGCGTCTCACCTGTGTTTAATTGCCATGGCTGGTTGTGTGTGTGTGTGTGGTGTGCCCCTTTATACACTGCTCAAAAAATAAAGGGAACACTTAAACAACACGGTGTAACTCCAAGTCAATCACACTCCTGTGAAATCAAACTGTCCACTTAGGAAGCAACACTGATTGACAATCAATTTCACATGCTGTGCAAATGGAATAGACAACAGGTGGAAATTATGGGCAATTAGCAAGACACCCCCAATAAAGGAGTGGTTCTGCAGGTGGTGACCACAGACCACTTCTCAGTTCCTATGCTTCCTGGCTGATGTTTTGGTCACTTTTGAATGCTGGCGGTGCTTTCACTCTAGTGGTAGCATGAGATGGAGTCTACAACCCACACAAGTGGCTCAGGTAGTGCAGCTCATCCAGGACGGCACATCAATGCGAGCTGTGGCAAGAAGGTTTGCAGTGTCTGTCAGTGTAGTGTCCAGAGCATGGAGGCGCTACCAGGAGACAGGCCAGTACATCAGGAGACGTGAAGGAGGCCGTAGGAGGGCAACAACCCAGCAGCAGGACCGCTACCTCCGCCTTTGTGCAAGGAGGGGCAGGAGGAGCACTGCCAGAGCCCTGCAAAATGACCTCCAGTAGGCCACAAATGTGCATGTGTCTTCTCAAACGGTCAGAAACAGACTCCATGAGGGTGGTATGAGGGCCCGACGTCCACAGGTGGGGGTTGTGCTTACAGCCCAACACCGTGTACGACGTTTGGCATTTGCCAGAGAACACCAAGATTGGCAAATTCGCCACTGGCACCCTGTGCTCTTCACAGATGAAAGCAGGTTCACACTGAGCACATGTGACAGACGTGACAGAGTCTGGAGACGCCGCGGAGAACGTTCTGCTGCCTGCAACATCCTCCGGCATGACCGGTTTGGCGGTGGGTCAGTAATGGTGTGGGGTGGCATTTCTTTGGGGGGCCGCACAGCCCTCAGTGTGCTCGCCGTGCGGTTGGCCCTGGGTTCCTCCTAATGCAAGACAATGCTAGACCTCATGTGGCTGGAGTGTGTCAGCAGTTCCTGCAAGAGGAAGCTATGGACTGGCCCGCCCGTTACCCAGACCTGAATCCAATTGAGCACATCTGGGACATCATGTCTCGCTCCATCCACTAACGCCACGTTGCACCACAGAGTGTCCATGAATTGGCGGATGCTTTAGTCCAGGTCTGGGAGGAGATCCCTCAGGAGACCATCCGCACCTCATCAGGAGCATGCCCAGGCGTTGTAGAGAGGTCATACAGGCATGTGGAGGCCACACTGAGCCTCATTTTGACTTGTTTTAAGGACATTACATCAAAGTTGGATCGGCCTGTAGTGTGGTTTTCCACTTTGATTTTGAGTGTGACTCCAAATCCAGACCTCCATGGGTTGATAAATTTGATTTCCATTGATAATTTTTGTGTGATTTTCTTGTCAGCACATTCAACTATGTAAAGAAAGGAGTATTTAATGAGATTATTTCATTCATTCAGATCAAGGATGTGTTATTTTAGTGTTCCCTTTATTTTTTTTGAGTAGTGTATATTGCCCTCACTTGTGTTCACTCCTTGTGGTGTCATCATTGACTCCAGGAACTCACCGCCCCCAGCCAAGAAGTAGTCTAGCACATAAACCCAACTTGACGTTTCTACACTTCTATTGTTGTATGGATTATACAAATAAAATATAATATGATAGTTAGTGAGCTATATGTACCTTTGGCAGGCTAGCTGTTTCCCCTGCGTCCAGTCTTTATGCTAAGCTAAGATAACCTCTAATTCCTGGCCATACATGATGGTGGTATCAATCTTCTTAGCAAACTCTTAGCAAAGAAAAAAGCGAATAAGAGTATTTCAATGCAATGCAATGCTAAATCGCTGGAGTCCCCCTTTAGTATCTTTCTTAAGCACATTTTTTCAAATTGTTGCATAATAGAACCCAGCCTCATTAATTTGAGAAAACATTGGGGTGTTTGGGGTCAAAGGTACAGGGATTGAATCCATCACCGTACCCTTGACCTTGACCCCAAGGCTATGGTATCATATGAGAGCATGGTTATGGATCATGTTTTTTTCCCACCAGCTTATAAATCAGCAGATCATAAAAACTGGTGCACAGAGTACAGTGGGAGGAGAATGAGGGTCTATTTTTAAGAATAACAGAACGTGCTTTTGAACAGGTGTGGAACTACTCCTCCAGACAATGGGTTTGGCTCACCTCAGTATACTCACAGTAAATCAGTGAGCTGGGACCCACATTCAGACAGGCTATTTTTGTTGTTGCGGTTTGGTCAGCTGCTGCTTGGGGAACGTTTTTGTAACAATGGCTCTCATGACATTGTCTTCCTTCTTAAGCATATTCATTATGAGAAAACCAAGTTTGTTTCAGGTTTTTGGTAGTAATAGTGACTTATTTGATATGCACGTCGAATAGGCATTGTTGGGATAAAGAAAATTAGCTCCACATCCCCGGATTCACCCTCCCTCCCTTCTTCTGCCTGGCTGGCTACCGGTCCTGTTCTTTCTTTCCAAGTCGTTTCAAAAGAGGCCAGCTGCACATTCAATCTCTGCATGCCATATTTACACCTTCCCTGTCCACAGTCATGCTTCTGTTTAAATTCTGTTACATGTCTGCTCAAATTAAAACATTGTGGTGCCTGGGGTGCCTGTGCGGTTGTTACTTGTGTCATCAGAGTGAGCAGCTGACGTCAAGGACAAGAGGAGAGAAATGTGAGTGAGACTGAGAAAGATTGAAAAAGGAGAAATAGAAGAATACCATCTGGTTGAAGAAAAGCACTGACTGGAAACCCAGAAAGAATTCCGTGTATGAGAGCTGTCATGGCTGGGGCATTAAAAGTGTATTTGCTTTAATGCATGCGGTCAGTCCCTGTCTGGCTGATACTGTGGAATAACACACAGTCCGACAGTGGCAGGAATGTTGCGTAATGCGGGTGCTGGTTTCGGCATTAGGCAGCATTAAGTCAAAGCCCAAAGCATGCTACCATCACCAACAGTCTCAGGGGCGAGCTTAGCACCTTCATCACCAGTATATGCACTGCTCAGATCAGAATACATCAAAGAAAAGACATTATAAAATCTTTAAGAGGCTACTTAGGCAACGTCTGAGCCAATTTAATTCAGCATTCATGACTTTAGTAGCTAGGTCAAGCTGAGGAGGTTTTAATTCAGCAGACCTTAAGTTTTTGTCAAATCAAGATTTTAAAAAAACAGCCATTAAAAACAGCAAAATATGAACTGTATTTCAATGCCTATTCGGGATGTTATTGATCATTTTGTTGCCATGCACCCAGAGGTCATGCTCAGATCTTACCTCCGGTATGTATCCCCAAGGAAGAGTCGGGATTAGCAGAAAGTTTGGGTCGTACTCTTTCACATCCAGACATACACAAGTTCAATCATCCTCCCCAACCAAAATAAGCACACTTAATACAGCCCTGTCCATCACGTGACCACATATCTTTTCTATGACTGGTTAGGGTCGTCAGTTCTATTGTTGGAGGCAGAAGATGAGTTATACCTGGAGAGGAATGCCTCCTTGCTATCAGCTACTTTTGTGGCCAGAAATTGGAAATACAACTCGTACTACCACAAAGTATTATTTGGATGGAGATAAAACATGAAATACAACAAAAATACAATAATACAGTGAAAACAAATGGTAATACAAGGGAATAATCATATATGTCTTAATTTTTTTTAACATATTTGTTAACAGATTGTGATGCCCTCACTTCCTCTGGCAGGTTGTTCCAGAGGTGAGGACCATAGACACTAAATGCCGGAGCACTCAGGGAACAACTAAAAGGCCAGTGCCAGAGGACCTGAGTGATCAAGAGGGAGCATATATTAAAAGCATGTCTAAAAAGAATTTAGGCACTAGTCCATTGAGTTATTTGTACACCAATAAAAGGATCTTAAAATATATTCCAAAACTAACAGGCAACCATTTACAAATACCTTGGGACAATCATTGATTCAAAGCTGAGTTTTGAAGCCAACTGTGAAATGGTGTGTAAAAAGGGTCATCAACATCTGTTCTTTTTAAGGAAACTGAGTCAATTTCAAATTGAGAAAAAAACTGTTGATTATGTTTTATTGTGCTTTTATTGAATCCGTACTCTTCTTTTCTCTTGGTACGGGAACTTAACGTTAAAGAGTCGAAACTCTATTAACCAGATTGTGAAATGGTCCAGTAGGTTGATTGGGGAACCACTACTGAACCCAGCCTTGCTGTATACTAGGCAGGTACAGCGCATGAGTATTTAAATTTTGAGTGACCAGCTTCATCCGCTGTATTATGCGTTCCAGTATCTGCCGTCCAACGGTTTAGAGTACTGTGGTGTACAACAAAACAATATAAAAACAGCTTTGTTCCCGTACGGATTAATTTTATGAATAGTATTAAGATGGAGTAGATTGTTTTAGTGCGATTTTAGTGTCTTGTTCTGTTTGTATGGTGTTATCGTTTATATGGTTGAGAAATAGTCTAAACTTATTCTCTGGTATGTAATTTACCTACAGGTATAAATAAAGGAACCTGAACATGAACCAGTGAAGGTACTTCAGGACAGGTGAGATTTGTGCTCTCCTTAAGGTATTAGTCAGTACACGTGCTGCTGCATTCTGGATGATTTGTAACTTAATAGGTTTCTTAGGTAGACCAAAAAAGAGAGCATTGCTGTAATCAAGCCTGCCATACCAAGGCAAATTCCTTGTATGTGAAAATTTACCTGGCAATAAACCCGATTCTGTAAGTGATAAAAGCATGCATAAGTCTCTCAGTATCTGCTAGGGAGAGAAAAAGTTGCACTGCGAGATTCAAAATTCAAATCAGGGTCTACAAGCATGCAAAGATTTTTTTTGCTGGGGGCTTGGCGCTTTGTGCCAGGGATTTTAAGTTGCACAGAATCACTATCTGAACCTCCGATAATTAAAAGGTTGGGCTTATCTTTGTTCAGTTCCAAAAAATTATGTGACATCCACAAAATGATATGATCAATGCAGTGAACCAGTTAATCAATAGGGCTGATGGCATTGGGTGCTCTCAAGAGATGTACAGTTGTGTGTCATCATACCATAACTATGATAATTAATCCTGTGTTCTCTGACATTTGCCACTGGCAGCATAGAGAATGAACAATATAGGTCCCAGAATGGAGCCTTGAGGGACCTCACATGTGCTAGTGTAGTAGTCCTAAACCAATCTAACACTGAGCCAGAGAGGCCAACACACTGCAATCTGTTAACAAGGGTGTCAAGATTGACTGTATCAGAAGCAGAAGTTTTTTTGGTCATCGTCGTTTCTTTTGAGAATTGACAAAGCGTAGAGCAGCTTTGTATTGAAGTCAGAGCATGTAAGTAGAAAAGTAGAAAAGCTATGTAATTTTTACATAATTTATTAATGCCTGACTCTTACAATCAATCTTCTTCCACATCTTGGTCATCGATTATGATACAATCCTTTATTTAAGTTGTACACTGTTCATTATTACAATATTTTCACAACACTTGAAGGCAGCCTATAGTTTAAATTTATTTAGCTAACAATAATGATGAATGATGTATTCAGGTATTTTGACTTATTTGACATTATATTTTGTTATTTTCATGTCTTCATAATCAACTTATTTAAAAACAATCAGTGCTACAGTGGATATATGCAGTTTTCTGATGTGGTTAATAGTAGAGTGGTGGAGTTATGGAAGGAAACGTAACAATGTGGAATAGAATACCTCAATGTCTTTATTGCTGTTGTTGAGTCAAGGGTACAATGTTTTGCAACATTCATCCAGTTGGAAACTGCCCACTTGTGACACCGGGAGTGACTACAGATAGTGCGTTTTGCATAGGCTTAGCGCTACACAAACAACAAGTGTCTGGTTAAACATGGAAATGTAAGAACTTTAAAAAACATAAAATGGACACATGGTTGTAAAAAAACAACAACATGGCATTATGAAACCACTGTATTAAAAAAACATAAATGTCACATTAAATCACGCTTAAAAAGCATTTTGGTCAAGCTCCCCTGCTCTTTTTAGGAGCCATGCAATGTGATTGTCAGACTTATGAGCAGTAACATTTATCAATTTAATGCCCCGGCAAACCGTTAATATTATCAGACCTTGTGACAAAAACTATGAAAGGGAATGTGCTACTTAAGACCTTAAGTAAAAAATTAAAAACTCTTAATATCATACTGAGTTGCTTTGAGGCTGTACTGTGCCTCAGCTGTCAAAAATGTTTTCATTGCAATCATTAGGCCAGAAGAATTACGTAGTGGTAAATATCCTTGTATTGTACTAGTATCTTGCTATATGCTTAGGCACCCTGATTTAACTTTGCCCTCAATTAGAGAATGATCGCTGAGCATAAGAGTGTGCATAGAGGCTATAAAGAAGTTAAAGTAGCCTTAAAAATGGGGGTTGGTTTGTCATTTTCCTATAAAACCTACAGCTTTTAAGCAGTGAAGGCGCCTTGTGCACCTGCTTTTTAAGAGGAATGTCTGAAGATTTTAATGTGATCAAACAGGTACACAAGCTAGAAAAACAGCTAGAAATAGAAAAGGACAAAACACATTAAACCATAAATAAAATGACATAAAAGGATAATAAAAGTCATAATGGCCTCCTATCTCCTATCACCAGCGTAATTAACTGCCTTGTTGGTAAATATTTTCTGGATACAAAAAAAAGCAAAAATACCTTTTGTTATGAGTATAAAGATGTTATATAAGATACAGTATGATAGGTCATAATCAAAACATCACATGTGCTAACATATATTACTCAGACCATTGCTGCACTATTGGTAAGACATAATAAAAGTGAAATTAGCTAAATTCTAGAAGTGCTTATATTTCTATCCTGAACTGGTGAACGTTGAATAAAATAGCAATGTGTAAAGCTTTTGCTTTAAATATAAATAAAAAAAGAGATGGAAATTGTACTGTATGAGGGAGAGAACTGATTGCACCCATCTCTTTGGAATGTGGAAACTTTTAACTCATCTACTCGGTGTCTATCAAAACTATCAGCATGGAGTACATCAGATAAATCTAAATTTAATTTGTTTTTGTTTTTTTCTTCCTGGCAGGATTGTATAAAGTAATTAGTAATAGAAATTATAAATGTCCAAATTTCACAGCATTTTGTTTCTTTTAGAAAGCAAAAATCATTGTGCAAAGGCACTATACGTGGCAACCGTACAAAAATATGATGCTGTTTCGGTACAGTGCTTGGACAGCGTCTCTCCTGTCCCTTCGTTTTCTTGGGGTCCCTCTTAGGAGTGTAATAATTTTTTTGGTTCTTAAGACAAACTCAAAGGAAGAGTCTTGGATTGTCGTGGTCCCCAGCTTCAGTGGCTCCTTTAAGACATTAATGTCCCATACCTGGTAAAAGATAAAAAAAATTGTCCATCAGTGGCTCTATTATAGGTCTGCAGACAGCGTCAAGCGTGTACACATGTGTTTAGCCATGCTAGCAGCCTAGCAATGTGTGTCTTAGGATGAAATTATCAGGTCAATTTATCCAATGATGCTTTCTGACCAAACGCCTACAAAACAAATGGGATTTTCGTAAGCCTCCTTAGTTTAGTGCTAATTAGCAAATGTTAGCAAGTTTACACCTAAACTAAGAAGTTGAGCATGGTAAGAGTTATGCTACATCAGCATGTCAGCATTACTGTGCCTCACAGTCTACAGCCTCATGGAGCCACTAGCGTGGCTGCAGACTAGCATCATGGTCGAAACCCACATATCAAAACAGGTCACATCACTGCAAATTATTTGAGATACTTGATATGTGAGTCTGATTTACTAACATGTGAAGTAACATGAGTTCTTCATTGACATTTTTGCACTTTTGAATTTAGTGAAGCACATTTGGAGCAGATTGAAACTTTGTGCACTCTAAATTATGTACTAATGTGCACAATAAAATTACTCTATATTGTAATACAACAGATATTCATTCATGCTATAGTTCATTTTGAGTCAAGAGGCCAAACAAAATATTAGTTTAAACATATCATTCTAAATTCAGCATAGCCAGAGATATATTTCCAAAATGGTGAACATTATTTTGGAAGCTGTCTATTAGAGCCAAGAATGTGGTCTGAGCGGCAGAAGTGGACGTGTACATGAGTGGAAAAGCTGAAAGGTTTGAGTGGTGTCGAGAGGGCTGTTGAGGGGGTTTAAAGAGGTGAAGTGGTGTGTCTATGTGTGTGTGCAAGCAACCCATTACGCATATATGTACGGAATTCCTCAAGGCCAAAACCCCTCTTCTGCCCGCTGGGGGGGAACAAAAGGAGGAGGAGTTTGTACTCAGATCTGATTTTAAAATAGCAAGCAATGTTTAAGTGGCATCCTAAAACGCTGTGGAGCAAAAGGCCAAAAGGCAAACTG